TTAGGGTTTAAGGTTCAGGGTTTAGGGTTTAGGGTCTAGGGTTTAGGGTTTAGGGTTTATGCCAAGGCAGTTTCTATGTGTAGGGTTTGTGGTCTGGGGCTACCCTGTAAACAGGAAGTTGTATCGAGGTTTTACCCTGCGGAATAGCCGGTATGCGGGGTGAGCGTGCAAGGGTCGTTCAGGCCCTTGAGATATTTCAGGCTTTCCTTTCTTGGAAAGTGGTTTCAAGACGATTATATTCAGGAATATTTTTCAGGAGCTTTGAAAGGGGCGACCGAGATCAGAACCTGCTAGAATAAGCAAACAGGCCGGCAGCGAGGGAAGAGCGAAAGTAGCCCAACCAACATCTCACAATCAATCTGGCTTGGGATGTTCACCCTTATACTAGCAATCCTAAATAGGGATTATAGGACCCCCCTGTCATAATCCCCATTAAGGACTATGAGTATAAGGGGGAACGTCCCAAAGTCTGGCCGTCTTTGGAGTTTGGGGTTGGGGAGGCTCCTTTCTGCACCGGCGACCCTCCTCAAACTTCCTAGACATGAATTTCCCCTTAGGGTTTAGGGTTTTTGGTTTAGGGTTTAGGGTTTAGGGTTTAGGGTAATTCCTAAGTCCTCAACCCGATTCTATATAAACGTGGTTCAGGCTTTAGGGCAAACAGCTTCCGGGTGACAGGTAGCACCAGAAGGGGGGGGGGCCTAAAGAATACCCGCGCGCCCTAACAGTCCTTAATTGGGATTAGAATAGGGGTACAATAATCCCTATTCAGGGCTGTTAGTATAAGGGGGAACATCCCAACCCTAAACCCTATACCCTAAACCCCAAACCCCAAACCCTAAACCCTAAACCCTAAACCCTAAACCCTAAACCCTAAACCCTAAACCCTAAACCCTAAACCCTAAACCCTAAACCCTAAACCCTAAACCCTAAACCCTTGCCTCGCACGCTTATGCCAGTGTGAGAGTCGAAACCCTAAACCCTAAACCCTAAACCCTAAACCCTAAACCCTAAACCCTAAACCCAAGGCAAGGATCCGAAGCAGGAGGCCGGGCCTCCGCATGCTTGGAGCTCTTTTGGGGCATCTCGCCCTAAACCCTAGCCCTAAACCCTAAACACCCTAGCGCCCCCGGAGTCAGCGCATGTCACTTACTCGATAGGCCACGGCTTGGACATCATAATGAGGAGGATCTGACCTTTTTCCGCTAGCAAAAACTCATCTAGATGATTACGATATTTGGCGAACCACATGTTTCCATATTTCAAAAAGCCAAAAGCAAACACAGAAGAATAGCCGAAACTGGGACAAGGATACGAGGGCGTTAGCAAATTAAATAACCCAACATGTCGGAAATCATATATGCCCAATATTGCAGACTTGTGATTAGCATTAGTTGCTCACACTTTCCGCCTTGTCGTTTGTTCACCTGAATGATACGGTGTTTTCTCCCTTGTTCATGCGGGGCATGGAACAAGCTATTTATACTAAGCCCCGCAAAAGGTTCTTTGACAAAAATCATGTCATCTTCGTAACATAACATAGGAGAAAAGACGGGAAAATTTGCCCTTGTGATCTCCAGAGTATCATTGTCTTATCTAAGGCTCAGGGTTTGGTATTTCAGGGCTGAAAGGCCTAAAAGGGTTTAGCGTTTAGGATTTTGCTTTAGGCTTCTAGGGTTTAGGGTTTAGGGCTCAGGGTTGAAGAGGCTTGCCCGGGGTGGGAAGGTGTGCTTTGGGTTATCACCTGCTTCTTAGGGCCAGGCCGTTTTCATGGTCGCATGACTTAACCCAACCCAAACAAGGAGGGTTTCTTGTCTATTCCTAGGTGACCCCTCCGCTTTGTGGGATGTGAGAAGCTCACAGTTGAAGGGCCACTAGGGCCCTACAGCCCGAAGAAAGAACGGTTTTGGGGCTTTAGGGTTTACGCCTTTAGGGATTGTACACTTTTTCGGCTTTTTGGTTCACCTTACACGAAGCTGCAGCTGTCATCGACATCACCAGTCGCTGGGGCTGCAGGTTTCGTCTCCCAGGCTTGTTTCGAGGGCTGTTCTACAGTCACCTTCCCTGTACTATAGGTACCTGTTACAATAGAAGCCCTACTGACAAGGTCCCCAAGGAGGCACCTCTACTTCGAATCCTGAACCCTAGTTAAGCTCTGACTCCAAGCACTCATGAAAACCGCCAAAGCCCCTGATTTGGAACGAGCCCACAGGTGCTCGCGCTGGATGTATTGAATACCACCCAAGCCCCAAAACCCTAAACCCCAACGCTACCCTAAACCCGAGAACCCTAAACCCTAAACACTCTCTTTCATATGTATATTTAAACCTTAATGAATTCGTCGGCAAGGCCCAACTTTGAGCCTTGCCGACGAATCCTAAAGGTTTGAAACCTTAATGGATTCGTCGGCAAGGCCCAAATTTGAGCCTTGCCGACGGATCCGATGGATTCGTCGGCAAGGCCAATTTGGGCTTTAAATTCGTCGGCAAGGCCGAATTTGGGCTAAACCTGAATGAAATTCGTCGGCAAGGCCCAAAACGCGCCTTGCCGATGAAGTTGGGCCTTAAAATTCGTCGGCAAGGCCAAATTTGGGCCAAACCTTAATGAAATTCGTCGGCAAGGCCCAATTTGGGCCGTAAATTCGTCGGCAAGGCCAAAATTGGGCCAAACCTTAGCGAAATTCGACGGCAAGCCCAAACTGCGCCTGGCCAACGATTTTGGGCCTTCAATCAAGGCCCAATTTGGGCTAGACCTTAATGAATTCGTCGGCAGGGCCCAAAATGCGCCTTGCCGACGAATATCCGAAAAGTGAAAGTGAAATATTTTCTTAATGTGATGGGATTCTTCGGGCGGGTGGGTATTTTTGCAACGCTCGAGTAATTGCTTGACTAGTGAATGCTTGAACGTGAGATGCTAAACCCTAGACCCTAAACTCTAAACCCGAAACCCTGAACCCTGAACCCTGAACCCTACACCCTAAACCCTAAACCTTAAACCCTAAACCCTAAACCCTAAACCTACACCACAGCTTTGCCCGCAGGCGGGCAGCGGCCAAGCGACGCCTGACTTTTAAGCAGACTCCACGTTGATTCCAGGGAGTGAGGACTTATGGAACTTAGGGTATTTTAACTTAGAAATAGGGTTTAGAGTTTAGGGTTTCCGGGGCTGTTCTACTATTCTCATATAGGGACCATAAGGGAAAACGATTGGTATTTCTTCCGACCCCTATATTCACACGATCCCCGCAGTCTTGCATGGAGAGAATTAGGGCTTAGGGCTTGAGAGCTCAGCTTGACATGGCGGCTTGGGGTAACAAGGCAATTGTCAACGCAAAATAGGGCCTTGCCTGCTAGGATCGCTCCCCCCACCCTCCCCGCCACACTCTGGGCTTAGTTAGGGGGTCAGGGTTTGGGATTCAAGGTGGGTCTCGGATGAAGGAGCGTGACACAAAAGGCAGCCAGGGACCTCACCCGCTTAGGCTCTTTGGGTATTGGGTTGTGGGTTCTGGGCCGCAACACACAGTCCAACCTCCGGGGGCGGGGGGAGGGGTTGCTCCTGCATTCAGCAAGTACTGGCTTAAAAACAGTTTAGGGTTGAACCTTGTGAAGAGAAAGCCCGTGAACTCACCTCATGGACTTTAGGTACCAATGGATGTTACCTAACCAAGAGAGTCATAGGTTGGGAGCATCGCAGGTGAAGGGAGAAGGGCTGGATACTGCTCCACCCTGTAGCAGTTGCCCAAAGTTGCAACTGCAACTGTTCGATGCCACTAGTGACAAAATACATATAGATAACAAATAGATGCTTCAAATTGAAAAACACATAATCGCATACATACATGCAAGCACACATTGCATTGCATTACATGAGATTACATTTCAATTAAATTTTCATTTCACATTCACATTTACATTTACACTTACATGTAGTATTACAATACATTACCTTACACTACATTACATTACATTACATATAAACAGGCACACATGTAGACTTAACTGTGTATATACACACATGCAGATGCCTGCTACAGGGTGAAGGGGAGCCCGCTTGAAAGCAAAAGCCTGCTGAACCTTCGAAGCTGATGCCAAACATCGCCGCAGCCCAGGGCACCGGCAGATGGTGACGTGGAGATTGTGGAGCCCCCGGCCAAGAAGCTGAAAGAACCCTGGTGGCCCTAACCCCTAGACCCTAAACCCCAAACCCCAAACCCATTCAGGGCATTTCTTGTGCCCTAACCCCGAAACCCGTGCATTTCTGCTGATCCTCACCTGGCTTGTCCGAGCGGTCAACAAATTACGGCCTGAGCCCGCACTTTGTTGGGTTTGCTGGGCTTAAGATTGATTAGGGTTCAATGGGTGAGCTCTTTTTGTTAAGAGTCCCTCAGAGTGGTCCTTGTGATACAGCCAACGCACTGGCGGGTGTTGACAGTTCACACAGGGTTTGTGAGGGGGTTGCCGGGAATTTCTGAGCAGGCTTGCAGAATCTAGGTTCAAGCGCGAACTCCCAAATATTGTTTTGTTCGAAGCCCCTGAACTCGCTCTCCAGCTCCCACCAAGGAATCTGACGGCAAGGAGGGCTGATGGCGCCTTGGCAAAACTGAGGGCGGGACATTGGTGTTTCGATTTCATGCGCGATCCTAGACGATGCGGTGGCTATCATGGGAGGGCGCTACGTGCGGTCGTTTTTTGTTGCCGAGGTCTTTCTGCGCAGCTGAACCTATGACAAAATTCGTGCTCAGAGCGAAAAAGCATGGACATGCAGATGTCTTGAAGGGGTTGAAATGCAGAGCAGCATAGCAGACCTGACTTCGCAAAATTCACAGTGCCTCTTTTCCGGCACCCGATGCTCGGCACTGTAGACCCGAATAAAAGCCGCCTACTCTCTGAGCCCCCAAGTTTCCTGCACTGAAGCTGGAGTAGGCTTTAGGGTTTCGGGTTTAGGGTTCCTTGCGTGTCAATCACTGAAAGGACCCTTATGAAGCTCCCAAAGCACCCGGGCAGGCAGAACAGCTGCGAGCAGACGCAGCGGAACTGGAAGCAGCCAGGCGCAACGTACACGCTCACTCGCACACTCGCACACACACACACACAAGCAAGAGGAGTTATAAATCTCAGGGCATGCCGTGGAACAGGATTTTGGAGTGCCAAGCAAAACAAAATGCTGCATAGCGAAATCTTTCTCTACTACGCATCTTATACGTATAGCTAGGATACCCCCCAAAAGGGGTTGAATCACTGCAGAGGCGGTTTTGTGGAGTTTCTTGATAGCTAGTTTCTGTTCCTTCGGTCCTTTTTTGTTGTGGGGTTGTCGTTGCTGTGCTGTGTGTAAACGGGCAACGACTTAGACAACACACCACACAGGCAGCTCCCACCCTGCCTGCCCGTTGAAGCTCTGAAAGGCAACAAACACCCGCCATGGACCCCTGAAAACCCCAACTAAGCCTGAAGACCTGCATACCTATAAACCCCGAAAGCCCCCAGACCCTGAACCCCCACAAAGCCTAAAGGCCTAAAGGCCTCAAGCCCCAAAACCCTGAACCTCCCAACGCCCTGAATCCCCCAAGGCCCTGAGCCTAAAACCCTTATTCGCAGGCGTGCTTCGCAGCGCGAATCGGCTGAGCTGCGGCGTCAGGCCCCGCAGCCCTGTGGGGAGGGGGGGGGGGGGTTGAGAGTGTATTAGGGTTTAGGGTTTAGGGTTTAGGGTTTAGGGTTAGGGTTTAGGGTTTAGGGTTTAGGGTTTATGGGTCTTAGAGTGTATGTGGCTTCATATTCAGGAGTTCGGGGGTGGAGAGGGAGTCGGAGGTTTAGGGTGCAGGTTTTTTGGTTTCAAGAAGGAAGTTTTTGAAGGGAGATTCAAGCCGCAAGTCCTTGTTCCGCGGCCACGAGGATTTCCAGGGTCTGCTACCGTTCTAGAATTCCTGGCTTGACTTGAAGGTTCATGGGTAGTTCTAAGTAGGGTTATAAGTGTATTAAGGTTCCAATATAGATTACCTTGCTTATAGCCCTGCGTATAACTACCCTAAACCCTAAACCCTCAAGTAGGGGCTTAGGTTCGGGTGCCTGGAGGGCTTTCTAGGAATGCCTTTCGAAGGTTTAGTGTTTAGGATTTAGGGTTTAGGTTTTAGGGTTTAGTTTAGGGCCTTCTGGTTTAGGGTTTAGGGTTTAGGGTTTAGGGTTTAGGGTTTAGGGTTTAGTTTAGGGCTTTCTGGTTTGCCTCATGAATTTCATGGGAGTTGTCTATTTTGCCTTCCGTTTCCTGGCAGTAAGCAAGGCCAGGAGTCCCAGCAAGCTTGTCCGAGTCTGGGTTCAAGCAGGGTTCAGGGGTTTAGGGTTTAGAGTTTAGGGTTTAGGGTTTAGGGTTCAGGGTCTAGTGCGCAAGGCATTTCCTCAACTGAGCAAGGGAGCAAGCTTGCCCGAGGGCTTTCCGGGGACTTCTGGTCTTTTCGATTTGTTTAAGCGCTGTGGGGGACTTGCCTGTCAGGGCTTAAGGCTGCGGAACTGCATGGTGTTGTGGTTCATTGATGCTCGAAGGTTCATGTAGGGTAAGTTAAGATACTCAGAACCCTACATACACAAGTACCCATGAACCTTAAAGAGGCCTCATCCTGGGTGTTGCCTCTCTCTTCTTCCCTTTGCCTTCGCGCGATTTGAGGCCGAGCAGTGGGCTACCGAGCGCGGGCAGCTGGAGGCATCTTCGGGCGAGTTGGGGGACCACGCGGGCGGTTCTTTCTTAAAGTAAGGTCCTTGTTGGGGAGCCTTTATGCAAGAAATCCTTTGAAACTATCCGTGGTAGTTTCCTGCAAGGGTGCAGTGATTTTGGAGCAGCCTGAGATGGAGGGATGTCATTCGGTTGCTGCCCGTTCTTTCACGGATGTGGCAAGCGCGTAGTCTGCAGGTTTGTTTCCCCAGAATATGGCTGATACACACCTGAAAAGCTGCAGGCCAAGGGTAAGAAGCTGTGGCTAAACCCTAAACCCTAAACCCATCAGCCCTAGATGTAAGAGGATGCGAGGTCACATTGTGCAGTCAGTTTCTTCGAGGGCTGTCCTGCGTAACAGGTGCCTGACGAGCGTCAGACCCTAAACCCTAAACCCTAAACCCTAAACCCTAAACCCTAAACCCTAAACCCTAAACCCTGTGAAATTCACAGAACATAGGCCCCAAACTTTTCAAGAACTGACCCACCCCATCAGCCCCACAACATGAGTGCAGCGAGTCGCTGTCATGGCCTCCCCATACTATAGCAATAGCCTCCTTTACTTAGTAGTAGAGTAGGTAACCTTTAACCTTTTTGGGTTAGTATCTTCCCCTTATAATCCCAAAGGTTAACCTTTAAAACCCCTAGGTACTGGACAACTAAGTATAGCAATAGCCTCCTTTAGGACCCAATCACCCGCTTAAGAACAGTTCCTTCGAAAGCCTCTCTTACCAAATGCCAACCTAATTGACATAGGCTTTCTACCTTTTAGCTGTTAGCATTCAGGGGGTTGCACGATGTCGCTGCAATTGGAGCTCTCTGCAACTTTACTTCAGAGGCTTTAGCGTAAGAAGCTCAGGAACTACGACCCCCTAATCTCTGGCCACGTTTCACCCTACTTATAGCTACCCATGAACCGTCAAGTGCAAAGCCGGACGCCCTAAACCGAACACCCTCAAACCTTGACCCCTTGGGATGCTCCCCCTTATACCAACCAACAGTCCTTGGGCCATTGGGGATTATAGCACCCGTGATTGTAATCCCTACTCGTGACTGTTAGTCTTAGGGTTCAGGGTTTAGTGTTTAGGGTGGAACATCCCTGCCAGAACCCCTCAAAACTCCAAAATCTCAGCCTCCACGCCCGGCAGGCGGAGGCTGTGCGCCTTCAAGCAGCCAGGGAGGCGGGCGGCCTAAACCCTAAACCCTAAACCCTAAACCCTAAACCCTAAACCCTAAACCGGCAGCTGCTGTGTGCTCTGCCCGTTTCAGCCTTAGCCTTGTGCTCTTTTCAGGGTCCCAGGCGCAGCTTCGGAGCCCAAAATGTTCAATCTTGGTGTTGGTCTTGCTTGTTTCGGTGCAGAGAAGGTTTAGGGTTTAGGGTTTAGGTTTTAGGTTTTAGGGTTTAGGGTTTAGGGTTTAGGGTTGAACACCTTGCGCATGCCAGGCTTTAGAAGACGACAACAGGACCCTGATGCAAAGGCGTGGCGATCTTGCTGTCTTGCGGCGCACCTTGCTTCATAAGAGACGAAAACCCTAAACACTAAACCCTAAACCCAACCCTAAACGAGCACTCGGAGGATCTAGAGAGGTGTAGCATGTGGATTGAAGATAAGTCTTGTCATGATTCATGCTTCTCCAACAACCGTTTGACATTCTGGTTATTGCCCTCTGTCATTGCAGTGCAGCCGCCGCAGCGAAACATCGTGACAGTCTGTCTTACTTGGCTGCACAAGAACTCGTCTTCGGTATGGTAACTGCTTCAGGTTTTGGGTGCAGGGCTCAAAAGCCCTCCGAGTTAGTGGACACTACACCGTGGACACTACGCCACCCTTGCCCTACTCAGCCCAAAATTCCAACCATAAGGCCCAACCAGGAGTTAGGGTTTAGGATTTTAGGGTGCAGGGGTTTAGGGTTTCGGATTTTAGGGTGCAGGGTTTAGGGCTTAGGGTGGGATAAGTATACTTTGCGCCTGCGACAGTACACCAAAGACCGAAGTCTTGGACGCCGTTAATGTCAAAGCGCAGCCAACCCGACATTTTCCCTTATGACCCACATATGCATATGACCATATATGCATATGAGTTTTATGTATACATACACATATAGATATACATATTTATTTATTTATTTATGTTTATTTATTTATGTATTTATCTATCTATTTATTTATTTATTTTTTATATAATACATTTTATTATACTATATTACATGATATCATATTATACTATATTATATATATATATATATAAGTGGATACATATTCACCCCACGAAACCAATTCCAGTCCAGCTTCGGCCCCACCGCACCAGGGTCGAAGCTATGGCGCCGAAGCCCGAAAGCGAGGAGGCCTGCTGCACGCCTAAACCCTAAACCCTAAACCCTAAACCCCAAACCCTAAACCCTAAACCCCAAACCCTAAACCCTAAACCCTAAACCCTAAACCCCAAACCCTAAACCCTAAACCCTAAGCCCTAACTCCTAAACCCTGAATCCTAAACCCTAAACCCTAAAACCCTAAGAATGCGAACCTCATGGGCCTAAAAACCCGAGGCTAAAGCATGTAAGAACCTTCACAAGGTTACCTAAGGTTCATGTACACTGCACGAATTGCCCGTGTCAAGTAGGCCCCCTGTGAATTAGGAATCTGCTCAGTTCGAGTTGCGGAGTGGCGCAGCTTGGGATTCAGAGGGATGGCGCGGGGGGGGGGGGGGGGGGGGGGGGGGGAAATAAGGGTCAGGGTTTAGGGTTTAGGGTTTTAGGGTTTTAGGGTTTTAGGGTTTTAGGGTTTTAGGGTTGTAGGGTTTTAGGGTTTTAGGGTTTTCGGGTTTTCGGGTTTTCGGGTTTTCGGGTTTTAGGGTTTTAGGGTTTTAGGGTTTTTAAGGGTTTTTTAGGGTTTTTTAGGGTTTTTTAGGGTTTTTTAGGGTTTTTTAGGGTTTTTTAGGGTTTTTTAGGGTTTTTTAGGGGTTTTAGGGTTGAGGGCACCGTCACCCAAACCCTAAACCTCAAACCCCGAACCCTAGACCCCAAACCCCAAGCCCTGAACCCGCAGAGCCAAGAGGGCAAGGTGACCAAAACGAAGGGCCCTTTTTAGATTTCAAGGGTGGACTTGATTCATACGCAGGAGCCTATAGCTTCGAAACCTGAAATGCCACATGCCCTACGGCCCGAAACCTTAAAGCCCTAGGGTTTAGGGTTTAGGGTTTGGGGTTAGGGTTGAGGGTGTAGGGTTTAGGGTTTAGGGTTTAGGGTTTAGGGTTTAGGGTTTAGGGTTTAGGGTTTAGGGTTTAGGGTTTAGGGTTTAGGGTTTAGGGTTTAGGGTGGCCCGGAACTTGAAGAGAAGTAAACCCTAAACCCCAAACCCCAAACCCCAAACCCCAAACCCCAAACCCCAAACCCCAAACCCTAAACCCTAAACCCTAAACCCTAAACCCTAAACCCTAAACCCTAAACCCTAACTTGGTCAGGCCTACCAAGCCGCAATGCATGAAGCGGAGCAGTGGGCCGGGTCCCCGTGGAGGGCGGGATGCTTGAAGGGTGATTAGGGTTTAGGGTTTAGGGTTTAGGGTTTAGGGTTTAGGGTTTAGGGTTTAGGGTTTAGGGTTTACTTTTTTTTGTTCTAATGACCCTCTTGGTAGCCCAGTGCTACCCTTTCTCCCCTTTTTGGGGGTTCTGGGTTCCCTTATAAAGTGACCGGCCAAAAAACAACGTACCCTTATTATAAGATGGTTTACTGGCTACCAAGAAGTGTAGGGTTAGAAGCAAGGTGACCTATTTGTTGATTCGCTTTTTTAACCCTAACCCAAGGTACCTAGAACCCTAAACCCTAAACCCTAAACCCTAAACCCTAAACCCTACTTGTAACTAAACGTGAGCCTTCAAGTGGAGGCCGGCTTGGTGGGCGAAGGTTTTTTTTTAATTTAGAGTTTAGAGCGAGGGCTGCTGCTCGCCTCTGGTCAACACAAGCCTCAAACCCTAACATCCTACTGATATTCAACCCAAAACCCTTGAAACCCTGAACCCCACAAACCCCCCTAAACCTCCCCTAAACCCCCTAAACCCTTGAGAAACCCCAAGCCCTTGCTCAGCTTTATGGTTGGCAGGGGGCAGCCGCCCAGCCCATGACCTGAACCTTGAGCCCCAAGTAGGGCGTAGGGTTTAGGGTTGCCCTAAACCCTAAACCCTAAACCCTAAACCCTAAACCCTAAACCCTAAACCCTAAACCCTAAACCCTAAACCCTAAACCCTAACCTAAACCCTAAACCCTAAACCCTAAACCCTAAACCCTAAACCCTAAACCCTAAACCCTAAACCCTAAACCCTAAACCCTAAACCCTAAACCCTAAACCCTAAACCCTAAACCCTAAACCCTAAACCCTAACCCTAAACCCTAAACCCTTGGTATTATAGTATTGCTGGACTCAGGTCCTGTACCATGCTGGGATGCCCCTGGAGGGCCCCAGCCTTCCCTACCTGAAGGGTGCCAGGAGCTTGGTTAGAGTTTAGGGTTAGGGTTTAGGGTTTAGGGTCAAGGAAGTTGTCTCTAGGACACATGTGGGCAGATTCTTGTCTAAGAGTCTTACAAGGGCCTTCAGTAAAACCCTATTCTGCCTGCAAGCGCTCATACAAACAGAAGCTACCCACGTTCAACCGTCCTTTATGGTCATGAAGGTTGGCTACTAGTTCCTTCTCGCTGCCGACCTGGCATTTGCGCTCCAAAAGAGACCCTCGGTAAATACACAATGTTTTAAGCATTTTTTAAACATGTCGGCGCACTTTCATAAGGAAGCTGTCCTAGAGTACGGATCTTTATATGCCTCATTTCTGGCTTGGGGTGCGTGTGGCATAGCTCCTTGCGTGCGGCAAGCTTCAACCTGTGCCGGATACATGACATGAAGGGCATGAATGACATGAAGAGTCTGGGATCAGGGTCGGAATGGGGGGGCGTCCCTAAACCCTAAACCCCTTTGCCATGTGGCTTTCAAGTCCAGACCCTAAACCCTAAACCCAAACCCTAAACCCTCAACCCTAAACCCTCAACCCTCAACCCTAAACCCTAAACCCTAAACCCACGAAGCTCCTAAAAATTCTTAAGCCTGCTTGTCAACCTGCAGTCCCAAGCCGAAGCCTTCAGTGGCCTGGACGACTGGCCGAGGTCATCATCTCCTTCCCCGAGTTCTTCTCGCACATGATCCCGATTGCATTGGCACCCACCTTAGCCTCTGTGTGTGTATATATATATATATATGTGTGTGTGTGTGTGTATGTGTGTGTGTGTGTGTTTTTTGGGGGTGGTTTTAGGGGTGTCTGTAGAAATTTTGGGGGGGTTTAGGGGTGAGGATGCCAGCGGGAAGCAAGTCGAGGGGCTAAAGGAGGGACCCTTAATGGGCACCTCAGGGGTAATGCAGGGGCTAGTGAGGTATGTATTGACTCTAAAGGTCGCCACTTATACCCCTTAAGCAAGAGCTGCAGCAGCTTTTGGGGGCGGTCGCAGCAAGGAGCTGTTCCACAGCAAATGGCCGCACAACTATGCTACAGTGAGGCCACGGTGAATGCAAGTCGCAATCCAAAGAGCCCCAAAAGATTTAAGGGATAGAGCCCCAAAAGATTTAAGGGATAGAGCCCCAGAAGATTTAGGGGACCTCCTCCCCGAGACAATATTTTCTTGTATGCCCATGCCTTGAGCAGAAGCGAACACATGGAAAGCTAAGGATGACTCCAGGCTCACCCAGTTTTTGTTGTTCTCCTTTGCCCAATCCTTCTTTCCCATCAATAAATAAATAAATCCACACTGTAGCCCTAAACCCTAAAGCCCAAACCCTAATTCTGAGAAGCCCCCCAAATTTGAAACCTCAACCTGGACCCCCCAAGTTTAAACCAACCTGGAACAACCTTGTAGGGTGTGGGCTTTAGGGTTCAGGGTTTATGGTTTAGGGTTTAGGGCTGTGGCTAACAGAAGGTGGGGCACTCTACTTCTTCTATAAGAGGGTTCTTAAGGGAGGGGAGGGTTCCCTAAGACGACCTGCTCCTCCCTAAGGCTCCCTAAGCTTCCCCAAGGTTCCCTAGGTACCCCCCCCCCCCTGAGCCCCCCTTCCTGAAGAACCCTATACTTATGGGGCTAGATATTACCGCGTGCCCTACATGTCTGTCGCCCCTAAACCCGCCATCCTTGCCCCCTAAGCACTCAGCTGGGCAGGCCCCTCAGATCCCTTCGTAGGTTTATGGAAGAGGATCATGTTTTCAGGAATATCCCCAAAGCCCACAAAACCCCTTTTTGAGCTAAATTTCAGCCATCCCAGCAAACATTTTTCGGCCCATAAGGCCAGCGCGCCGAAGCAATTGCGGTCTGACTCCTGGAGGGTTCTTACTTGAAGGTTTAGGGTACGTCCGGTACGTAGTGCGCTCCGGGTACTTAGTACTTAGGGTACTTATCAGGGTACTTAGCGTAGGGTACTTAGAGTACTTGGTAGGGTACTTGGGGTACTTCGGGTTTAGGGTGTACTTGAAGGTTCATGGGTAGGTACAAGACTTCGCCAGCCTCAACCCTAAACCCTAAACCCTAAACTTCCTCGGGATGATCGTCAAGGTGATCGGCCCTGAACCTTGAGCTCCAGGGCCCTTAAACCCTAAAGGTAGTTGCATGGCCCCTGAATCTGGGCCCTTGTAAACCCTAAAACCCTTAGCTCGGGCGTGTAAAGGTACATCCTAAGCAGGCTCAGCTGTTCAAGTTTGCATACGAAACCCGAAACCCTAGACCCTAAACCCTGGGGGTCTAATCCCTAAACCCTGGGGGTGGGGGGGGTGAGGAACTCGGAGCTTGAACACCGACACGTTCAGGGATTCTGACGGGATGGTTTCGATAAACCGCCGGACAGGTCTGCAGCGGCCGCCGTCGAAAGCGTGGGCCCTGCCCATGTACCGAAGTAGGTACTTGAAGGTTCACAGGTAGCTATTAGGGTTGAGGGTGTAGGGTTTAGGGCTATCACTTCATGGGTAGTTGTAAGTAGGTTATAAAACTTGCGTTGCAAGTACCCTACTTATGGTTATAAAATACGTCCCCTAACTTATAACCCTGGCAAAAACTACCTTCTAGTAGGCCGCTGAGATATTTCACGTTTTGCCCTTTGGTGGTTGAAAAAGAGTCAGGCACAGGAACCAAGATCTTGAAGGGACCACCCATCCGCACCCGCAAGCCCTGAAGCATGGAACCATGTGCAGCCGAAGCAGCTGAAGATGTAAGGTGCCCCTCTGGACCCAAACCCAAACCCGCGATCTCAGCTCAGGAAGTCCTGCAGCCCCATGAACCCGTTACCCTCTAGGGTACGGAGCACCCCTCCCTAAATCCTAAACCCTAAACCCTAAACCCCAAACCCTAAAAACTAAACCCTGCCGAAGTTGCGAAGGCGGGGAGCTGGCAAGAGCCACCCTGCAGTGCTTCAGGCAGAGGGGGCTTCGGCGTTTAGAACCCGAACTTGGAGGTTCATAGTACGGGGTTTTTATACAGCCTGGGTTCAGATGAGCACCCCTCCGCTCAGAGAGCCTGGGGACAACCCTAAACTTATCCTGAACTTTCGAACCCTCAACCCGAAACCCTAAACCCGACCCTAAAGCCATAGACTTTCAGATTCCTGAGCAAAAGCCAGCCAGCAGTATCGGTAGCCTCCTGAGGAACGACTCGCGGTTTAGGGCTTAGGGTTTATTACATCAGGGAATATGTGGTTCTAAGGGGAAGTATTGTTGTGGCATCATTATAGGTGATTAGGGTTGATGCCTGGATCGCTTCGGCCCAAGCGCACAACACGAAACCTCGTCGTCTGGCTTGACGGGTTTCAGTTGAGGGTTTACCCTCTCCTACGTAGGTTTCACCTCCCATTATGCTGTCCTCGTGTTAGTCAGTTACGTTGGTTTCGCATGTCGGACCCTGTCAACCCTCTGCCCCTCTGTTGGGCTGACCCTGGAACACAGAACCAAGCAACAAGCTGCTTGCATGGCAGGCTGTGTGACGCGCATCGACGCGGCATGCTGGGCTGGGAAGACGAAGAGGTGGAAGAAGTTCGGGTTTCAAAACTGTAGGGCCTGGCAAGTTTGCATTAAGCAATTACGCCGAATGCTAGGCCCCTACTTACTAAACTACCAGAGCCGAAACCCTTCTGAGAGCAAACCTTTCCTTTGCGAAAATAGGTGAGCGACCTGGTGGATGCTGTCTTCCAGCGCAAGGGTCTTCAATCACCGCCGCAGGCGGATGAATGGAAGGGTTTGGTATGGGCCGATACCTAGGGGAAAAGGCCGTTGGCAAAGATCGAAGATGTCCGGACCCAGATGACATGCCCCAGACCCTGAGCATCTTTGCAATCTTGATAGCCCGGGCGGGGCTGTATACATGCCCACCTCGTTGATGCATACAACTGGTCTGCAGACTTGGCGTGCAAGACATCTGTGCGGGGGTAAGTTGCAGCTGCGTCGCAGGACGCGCAGCGGCGCATGTTTGCCAAGTTTGCCGAGGACGCATCCATGTGCACGTTGCAGAAGAAATGGGGGTGATGCATCTTGTGCTGCTGAGAAAATGCCGCAAATCCAAGTGCTTTGCCCCTGGATCCCTAGATGCTAGCAAGGAAACCCTAGACACCAACCTTCGCCCCGGCATTGGCAAAGCATGGCAGCAAAACCGCCTGAACCAACGGAAGCACACGATGCATTGAGTCTCCTCAGGACCTGGCGGGCAACCTTTGTGCGCAGGACGTTGCCTGTACGAGCCAGTGTCTTCTGCCTAATGGGGGGCATCTAGTAATGCTAGGAGACCGCGACGCAGTCGAAGACGCGACGTCGCAAGGGTTAGGGCCATGTAGGGTTCAGGTTCAGCCGAGGAATCCTAGGAACCCTACCCCTAAAGGACCTAAAGCCCACATCAGATGATTTCAGCCCAAGACCCAAAACCCGAGGCCCAAAGCAGGGTTTAGGGTTTAGGGCTTGGGGCTGAGGGTTTCCCAAAACCCGAACTGCAGCCAGGACTGTCTGTGCATGGTGGACGCACTCTTCCGGGCCGCGCCCTTGCTTTCTGTATTCCGGTAGGGGTTCTTGCTATGAAGATTGGGAAAAAGGGTTGAGGCATGGCAGGGGCGTTGATGTGGAGATTCCTTCTTCTGACAGATAGGCGGTTGACGACAACTTGTTGCTGCTCGTCCTTTATTGTTGTGGGGCTGCGGTGTCTGTGTGTGTCTGTGTGTCTCTGTGTGTCTCTGTGTGTCGCTGTGTCCCTCTGCGTGTCTCTGTGTGTCTCTGTGCGTCTCGGCGTGTCTCTGTGAGTCTCGTGTGTCTCTGTGTGTCTGTGTGTGTGTGTCTTCCGTTGCTGGATGCTCAACCTGCAAGAATGCCGCCTACTCCTAAAACACCCCTAAACCCGAAACCCTAAATCTTCACCGCCCCTGCACAAAACCCTTGCAACACGCAACCTCATTAAGCTTTTGGCTCCTACATTCTACTTTCTTCGACTTAGAGGCTTCAAGAGAGAGAGAGAGAGCGAGAGAGAGACAGAGAGAGATGCAGATACATATATATATATATACTATGTGCTATATGCATACTCTATATATAGACACTAGATACACTAGATATACTTATGTCTTTTAGCGCTTTCCTTTGGTGCGCTCTTCCTCAGGCTTTACTGCTGTGCCCTGCAGCCGTATCCGTGGGAAGCCCAGTGCCGGCCGAGCCCAGGCGACTTTCAGCTTGGGGTAACTGTAAGTAGGGGTTTAGGGTTTAGGGTTTAAGGGTTTAGGGTTTAGGGTTTAGGGTTTAGGGTTAGAAGTAGGGTTATAAGTAAAGCGATCCATAAACTAACCTTAATCAAGGCAGGTACTTATATCCTGCTTGCAACTACCCTCCCCCCCCTCCCCATGAACCTTCAAGTAGACTCTTTGCTTATCGCCTACATGTGATAGGGTTCTTAAGGGGGGTAGGTAACCCAATGTTCTCTAATAGTCCCTACTACTCCATAAGGCTCCCGAAGATTCCCGAGGTACCTGCCTCCGAAGAACCTCCCTTCCTTAAGAACCCTATAAACATGGCATCGAATAGTTCCAAGTGACACCATGCACACATATGCACACCGAGGCTGCGATCCCGCGCCCGGATAACCCTCTACTTCCCCAATGTAAACCTAGAAGCACTAGCAGACCAATTTCCTGCCTTGCAAGGGTTGCGTCGGCTAGTCAGCAGGCGGAAATCCTAAAGCCCCATACTACCAGCCGACAGCCACGGGCTCTGAACCCCGAACCGTAAGCCATCGTAAGCCCTAAGCCCTAAACCGCGAAACTATAGGCCCCTTAGGAATTATGTTTGGTGTATACAAAAACCCAAGGGAAGATTAAAAGTATCATGTATGTTAAGGTTCTAAGGGGAGTATAGCAAAGTCACGACCCCAAACACTGCCATAACCTGAAGCTCGCGTCGTTCAGAGCCCGCAAACTTAAATTAAGCACAACTCCTAGAGAAACTATAGCCAGACCCTCAAACCCCGAAACCCTAAGCCGTCACGCCCTGAAGGTTTAGGGTGTAGGAGGGGCCCTCAAACTCGGAAGCCTTGCAACCTTAAACTGCCACACCCCACGTGGCCCTAAACCCTAAACCCTAAACCCTAAACCCTAAACCCTGAACCCTGAACCCTGAACCCTGAACCCTGAACCCTAAGGTCAGCACCTCAGACGTGGTGCCAGAGGGCCCTTGCCTTGCACCAAAGAGTCGGAGACCCATGGGGTTTAGGGTTCAGGGTTTAGGGTTTAGGATTTTGGGGGGTCTAGGTTTAGGGTTTTAATAACATAGGGCCGAAAAAAAGAGCTCCGGGGCAAGAATGGTTGGAGGGTTGCAGGCTCATGCCGACTGATGCAAAACAGCGCGGGGTTTCGGAGACTCTGGGTGTGAGTTTTGCGAGCGCAGCCCTGGACCGAAAGCCTCGAAGCTCGCTGTGGGGTGTTGGAGTTTGAGAAGGGAGTGAGCTCCAGGTGAAAAAGTACGGGTTCAAGGCCGCAAAGGCTTGGGGCTCAGGGTGTAGGACCAATTTCCAACTTGCATGGCATCTTGCCTGCCTTAAGGTTGTGGGAATTCCTGTTCGGGGTTTTTGGCGTAGGTCTTCTAAGACGAAGAGCTGTACACCCGCAGGACTTCCATCAGTGTAGGGTTGAGGGTCTCTTTGGGAGAGCAGCACCTAAAGGCCAAAAGGCTGGCTGCGATTGGCTCGTACAAGGGCAGGTCGGATCAGCAGCCGCAACGTCTTCAGGAATTTCGTACCTGGACCCGGGAACGGAGCGCCTCTAAAGGACATCTATGTCCGAGCGTCCCTTACAAGGGCCCGTTGGTAGGGCAGCTATAGCGGGCATGTGCATGACGAAGGAAAAAGGAAGGACAGCCCGAAAGACAAGAAGGCGAGAAAGGTGGTGGCAAGGTACAGGGAGCATCCTAAACCCTAAACCTGCCACACCTGCCGTCATGCTGGGCACTTTGCGATCCCGTGGTGAAAATACCAATTTGCCAGTGCTTGCGGCCAAGCAAAGGATTCAATCTTCCCTTGTTGCGGCTCCTGAAGAAGATGCTATCCTGAGCTTGTTGAGTTGAGGAGCCTACATCAAATTCCTGTTCATCTGCACAGCGGTTGCTGGAACTGCACCCCTGATCCCACTCCAATCAGAGAATCCGGAACTCCCATGCCTTAAACCTTAAGCCCTTGCTCACAAGTGCCTAAAATCCTGAACCTCATAAACACCCTCATCCCCAAGCCCTACACCCTAACCTCAACCCTCGCCCCAAACCTCCCACCAACCCTAAACCCTAAACCCTCAACCCTAAACCCTAAACCCTAAACCCTAAACCCTGGAGCCCGAAGCAAGAAGTCAGGTCCCACTCTGCAGGATAGCGTCGAGGCACCCGCGCGTGTTCGAAAGAAAAGAGTTTTGGGAGATATGGGGGTATACGAGAATAGAATAAATTGTTTAGGGTTTGGGGTTTAGGGTTAAGGGTTTAGGACTTGGAACGTGGTTTAAGGATGATTAGAGCTGGTATACCTCTTGGGGTAGGTGGATAAGGATGTTCCAACTTTGTGGAGTTTACGAGAATAAGGGACCCCCAATATAGCCCCCCAAAAGAGTAGGTGTTTTTGTAATAAGGAGGACCCCAATAGGATACCCTAATTTCGGAAACTCCCATATTGTGTGTGTGTGTCTTTTTGTTATCGGGGTGGCTTAGGGTTCGGAGCTTTGAAGTGAGGATCCTGGGGTTCAGGGTGTTTTGGGGGATTTTGAGATTCAGGGCTTCTGGAAGTTCCGGGGCTCTGGGCGTCTACCCTAAACCCTAAACCCTAAACCCTAAACCCTAAACCCTAAACCCTAAACCCTAAACCGGGCTTTTGGTCAAGTTTCAGGATTTGGGGGGGGTCCCCGGCAGCCGCGAAGGCGGCCCGAGGCATGGGTTTGGGGGTTTCTCGAGTTCTTGTTCTGTGGACTTCTTGAACCCTACAAACCTCTATTCTGTCTATTCTTCTTGAACTCTGCTATGAGAAACCCTGCAAAATTTCCCACATATAGTAACCCTTATACATCGCCTACAGTACCTCACAACCCTATAAAGCCTATGAACCCTAAAAACCCCTAGAATCCTCATAAAGCCTAGAAGCCCTCAAAACCCTGCAAACCCTCCAAACCCTACAAGCCCTATCATCCCTATAATTGCCCTAAACCCTACTCCCTATACTCCCTATAACCCCTATAATCCCTATAAACCCTATATAATCTCTATAATGCCTATAGTCCCTACAATCCCCCTAAACCCTAGTTAAATCCAAAACCCTAAACCCGAAACCCTGAACCCAAAACCCCCAAACCCCAACAACCCAGGGCAGCCCTGCACACAAGGCACGGCAGCTTCGCGAATCCGTTGCGCAAGCGCGGCTGCAGCGTCGCCTTGAGGAGGTAAGCTGTAGGGCTCCCTACGCGGTTTAGGGTTTAGGGTTTAGGGCTTAGGGTTTAGGGCTTAAAAGGGCTTAGGGTGTCAGCTGACGTACAGAGTCTGGGTTCAAAAAAAGGGTTAAGGGTTTAGGGGTACTTGAAAGCATCCCCTGCTTGGTCGCAGGGAGGCTCTGCTATCAGGCTATCAGGTTGCCGGCAGTCTCCCAGCCCGAGCTCAAAAAGGGATACTTGAAGGTTCATGGGTAAATATACGTAGGGCCATAATTAAGAAAACCGAAATTTGAACCTTAATTCAGGTACTTCTAGCCTTTATTTTCACTTGTTTCTTCCAGGGGCTTTTTGGGCTTCTAGTGC